GGCTACCCGGCCAATTATAATCGACAAGAAGAAGAAGATGGCCGCTCTCAGGCTTCTCTCTGCCTATAATAACTCGGAAAATGTTTACGGTAAAGCGTGGAGCACAGACTTTTGCATAACGCATAAACCATATACACAAAGAATTTGATTGGTCCATTGACTCATGCATAAGAAAATGGGCCAATGAAATTCCTTATGCACATGCTTTATGCGTTATGCAAAAGTCTGTGCTCCCCGCTTTACATTGGGGTTCTAAAACTTGACGACGGTAGGTCTGTCCTTTTTAACTGAACGTTTACACTAATTCATCTTTTTTCCTTTTCTCTCCTATTCAGATTCTCACCCGAGTGCTCTCCGGGTGTCATGTCATCCTTGTTTAACATTTGGTAAACAATAAGGATATAAGGATACCTGGATGGAACTCGGGTGGGAATCTGAACATAGCGTAAGTTGATAGATTCGAATTTTTTAGAACGCAACCCTGCAATATGCAGAGCGCGCTATTTTCGAGACATCTCTCGAAAGCATGAATAAAGAAATATTTCAATATTTAATTATTTATTTATACACACAGTATTACTTGAACATATCTTTTAATTACTGTGTTAATTATTGTGAAGACAAAATTATATTATATTATAATAAAAATAATAATAGTAAAAATATATGAAAAATTGTCAATGAAATAAAAAGGCAATTAAGAGTCAAAAGTATCGACTCTTAATTGCCTTATGTTATAACTGAAAAATTATAAATCTTTTATTACCATAATTAAATTTTTATAATAAATTTTGAAAAATTTTTTTAAATTTTTATAAAATATATATATACAAATCTATAATATATCTAGAAACAGTAAATTTAATTATATAAATACGACAATTTGTATCAACAAAATATTTAAATCTTTATATATAATCATTAGGAAATATATAATCAAATTTGAAGAAATTCTTAATAAATAAAATTGCATTTTATAAATTTATTTTTTTCTACATGATATATGTATATTGCAATACCATATCTCTAACTTATAAAGATTTTATATACTGTATATAATCAAAGGTACGTTCCTCCCCTGTAATGTAATTAACAAAATAACAATTCAAAAGTAAAAAATAAACTATATAATAAGGAGAATTTCTCTCTCTCTCTCTCTTATATAGATATTATATATATAAACATATGCGAGATTATAACAAACATATTTATTTAATGTTGATTATAAATAACACATTTTTCGATGTTATATGCTGAAAAATCTTATTACAAAAATTTTATTATTTCTAACAAATGAAGATCGAGAACATTTTTTTATGCTAACAATATTAAACTTTGAATTACATTTCATTACAATTAATTTGTATCAATTTATATTAATACAAATTTTGCATATACATATATAGTAAAAAACACTTCTTATGTGTGCTGGAAACAGTCCGTTCAAGTTCTCGTTAAACTTTTGTGTAGAATTTTTTTATATATTTCACAGTGTTGAGTTATTTTGAAATAATGTATTTATTATCTATATATGTTATATTTTAATCAATTTGTTTATTAAATCGATGTTTAACATTTCTTAAGTGTCAAAATATTACAATTTATGAGTAAATGAACTATAATAACATATCTAATATTGTGTATTTCAAAACGTTCTAAGATAAATGAATAAAACATATGTTAATTTAACATATCATAATAAATGTTAATTTTACTAAAAAGAATGTGCTTCTATTGTTGTTTACAAACTTATGTTGGTGTTACCTTCTTTGTGTTTCTTGTTAAATAATGTTTGTATTACCTTCTAACATATTCATCTTAGATTTATCAAATTAATGTATGAGTGGAACGTTTGGGATATATAAAATGTATTACATTTTGTCATCATTACACACTAATCAAATAATCATCTCCTTCATCATAATTCATATTGTAGTATATCCATATTGTAAAATTTGAACGATTTATGAAGTCAATAGTGAGATTCTGCGGTAAATTCTCAAAATATTTAACATTTAGTTTTAATTGATTGTTTGCCATATATAGTACATCTATCGATGGCAATGTATTTGTTAATGACAAAGACTCCAGTAAAGTGAATTTATTTTCACTTAGATCCAAATATTTCAAAGATACAAGGGGTTCCGCCCATCCTTTTGGCAAAGAGCTTAACTCATTTCTCGACAAATCTAATTTTTCTAGAACAGTAAGTTTAGCAAACGCATTAACATCGATTTCATCAATCCTATTCTCTCCTATTAACAATTTCACCAATTTCGGCATATGCAAGAAATTATTCGAGAAAATTTTATCTATCTGGTTGTTATTAATATATAAAGTGCTGATTTCTGTTTTATTTGAAAGTGACGGGACATACTCGAAATGGTTACTACTCAGATCGACTGTTTCTAAATACTGCAAATTTGCAAATATGTTTGAAGGTAAATAATTTATGGCATTTGAGGACAAATTTAAAAAGACCAAATGGTCATTGTTTTGAAAAGCATATAAATCAATAGTATCAATCTTGTTTCCGGAAACAGAAAGATAGTGTAGATTCTTCAGACCACCCATTGATAGAGCCAATCTGTACGTATTGTTACTGTTAATAGTGCCAAAATTATTTCCATACAAATTCAGCGCGAACAATTCGTTCCCTTTTTTGGCTAAGTTCAAATTTTCAAGCATATTGTCGTGAAGATCAAGAAAATATAAGCTATTCGGCAGTAGTTTTACAAAATTGGTTCCTCTTATGTTGTTTTCAGAAAGATCCAGGATCTTTAACTTGGGGAATGTAATCATGTTATTTAGACGCAATACGTCATAAGGAGTATGATACTCAAATGATGCAAACTCTAAATCGCGAAAGCAATTTTTACGTAAAGACAACATTTCTAAATTAGAGTATTCGCCGAAAATCTGTATGTTTAATTGTGAATTACAGTTATTGTAGTAATCGCTATTGTTTAACGTTGCCGTTGCATTATTCATAACAAGCACTTGTAATTTGTTCCGACTTCCGAACTTAAGAATGTCCTCTGTGGTACTAAATTGATTGTTCGAAAGATGTAGTCGAGTTAAATTTGGAAGTTTATTGAAGGCGTTTTCTTCAATGTTCACAATATTATTGTCCATAAGATTGAGGCAGGTGATTATAGGACTGCTAATGAAGTTCTGCTTGATTTCAGAGATCACTGCATTCGAGATGTTTAAAGAAATATTATCATTACACAGAGGTTGAATCAATTTGTTCGAGTAATATTCTATGTTAAAGTAATCATCGTTTGCTACTGATAATGTAGACCAGCAAACAAAGATGGTGATTACGAAGACAAATTTCGCAGTTGTCAATCTCTGTAAATATAAAAAACGTTTGTTTTAGAATTGTAAAAATATGCGGCTTGTGATTTAAATGTAAAACATAATAAATTAAATTAAAATTATAATAAATTAAATTAAATTAATTAAGAAAGAAAGGAAAAAAACGTTTAACGGTCAAGCTAAATCTTAAATGCTTAAATAATTTGATGTGAATTTATGAATACTACCCAGCACAGAATATTTTGTAATAAATATTTATTACTGTTTTTAAAATGTTATATAAATATCTTATACATCATATTTTACATACAGCTTTAATCAAAATTATTAAAATATAGATTAAATATATATTTCATGTAATATTTATAACAAATACAAATAAATATTATTAATAAGTATTGTTTAATGAAATTATATATTATTAAGTATTTTTATAGCATATTTACTATATTACGTCTACAATAAATGTTTCATAATATTTGTTATAAATGTTAATGATCTGTGCAATCTAAGACTACAAAAATACTCACAAAATATTTAAAATAAACCTTATAAATATTTTCAAATATTTGTAAATTTTGTAGAAATACTGTGTTCTGTCTGGATATCTATATAGTATTTAAAATGCGCGTTGAATTAACTTTTCAATATTGAAACGCAAATTGATTGAATTACAATAGTAATATTACAAATTTCTCACGGCTTACGATTTGCAACTTTATTGTAGAACAGATTTTAGCAATTTGCTAATTTGTTTATCGTATCTTATGAAAATCTTAATGCTAGATAACATATTAAAAGAATTATAGAATTTTTTTCCTTTCTTGTTATACGTTCATGCATGTACAGTTCTAGAAACGCGTTATTTATAATATTGTTTAAACTTATTAATATTCAATAAAAAATAAATATAAGACTAAATTATAATTGTACTAATGCAATGAAGATAATTATAATTCCAAATAATTCTAATAATCAAAATTATATAGTTCCATAATTGTAGTTTCCATAGTTACTATAGAATTTCTTATAAGACAAAAAATTTATTATTTAGAGGTTTCTTTTAAAATTAAATAAAAACGTAGCTTACCATTTTTATAATGTCCTTTTCAAAGATGTTTCTCACAAAAGATGCAAACTTTAAGTTATTTCTAGTGTACCTTCTATAGAGACTATATCTTGAATACTGAAACGAACAGTTACAACGATTCTAACTAAAATCTTCCATCACGAATCACGAACAAAGTGTGGTCAACCCTGATATAACTTTCTCCAAGAATTGAAATCGATACATATTTATATACACATATACACACATGCACAGACTTACATATGTATGATTAAGCTTACAATTTTACAATATAGATACACAAAAGTAGATACCTGAAACGCGATAACGTATCTAAGGTTACATTTTAAAACTTCTTATCCGAAAAAATTTTATCAATACAATAGCATGCTACGGATACCATACATATTGACTAAAATTTTTCTCGGAAAAACGTTTTGGAATGTAGCCTATAATATATATTCCTTTTCATTATCTTTCGTAACATCTGCAATGAGTAATATTCAGAGAATGAAAATAACTCATTACTGTATAGTTACTATAACTGTCTTTAATTACTAAATTAACTTACTTATTAACTTACTTAGTTACTTAATTACTTTGTTGTCATAATAGTTCAGTAATGATATGAATTTTTTATGATGATAATGTAACACCAGAGTTAGGAACAATCAATAGATATTTAGCGGGTTGGAAAAGTAATTTATTACTGAAAAAAATATAATAACTCGCAATTTGTAACTCGTTTTTTAAAGTAACTTGTAACGAAGTAACTTTACGGTATTATACTCGCGTTACTTATTACTTTTTTTTTTTAATATATAACGCATAATAATGACAATTTTTTTTTTAATGACTTTCTTAACCTTAGCGTAGCCTCAGCATTATTTAGTTAGTTATCATTACAGTCATAAAAAATTGCAACATCGTTACCAAATTGCTTTTATAAAAAGAAACTGTAAAAAGTATCGAAAAAGTAACTCTTCCATTTTTTGGACTATTATTTGTTATTATTATTGAGAATAGTTACGCAATATAACGTAGCAAAAAAAGATATATATATATATATATGTATATATAATATTTCGTTTTTTAAATTTATTTTTATATATTATTAAAAGAATTCAAAAATAATTAAAAATATATATTGATAAAGCAATTAAAATGCACAAAAATCAATTAATTAAAGTTAAATATTTTCAGAAAATATTGAGATTTGAAAAATAAGTCAAAAGATATCAAAATCAATATATAGAAAATTTTGACCGTTTTTAACGATGTATGTGCATGCAAACTGCCATCTTTTATTTTCAATAAAAGAATTTAAACCATTTTTTAATAATGTAATATTAATATTTTTATTAATATTGATCATAAACTTTCTATATTACATACAATATATATAGAAAAATCTTACATCATTATTTAAAATTTTATTATTTCTAACAAACAAAAAGAATACATTTTTATGTTTACAGTATAAAAATTTCAATTTTATTAGAATTTGCTTCAACATATAACTTCATATTTTACAAATTTCTTGTACATATAGTAAATACATTTCGTATTTGCGTTGAAAACAGTCCACTCAAGTCCTGTGTTGTATAGAATTTTTTAACATACACAAAAGTTAATTTAACAAAATGTGATTATACATATATATTATTTAAATATTATTTAAAAAATTAAAGGTCACTTATTCCATTCTATAAAAATAGGCAAATTTTAAGATAGAAGAACTTCGTCAAATATCATTATATTATTGAGATGTTTGAAAAAACAATTTATATACAGTCTGAAATCTCTTTTTCAGATCGATACTTGAAAAAACTTACGGATGTTTTTATTATATTGATAATATTATTATTATATTGATAAAAGTCTTACTAACATTTTATGGAGTTATACAAGCATAAATAAAGACGCATCTCAAAACTTTTTTACGAAATTTGAAATGTTCCACAGCGCAAATTATAAATTGCACACAAATTCGATTTACAGCATTGGAAAGAGTGAATCTTTATGTATGTGTAACTTTATAAAATATCAGCAAGAGAGAGACCGTTTTCTAAAGTACCTATCTTTTGTGAAAGTACAGATTTCAACTTACAAAATGCTTTTTTAAACATCTTGGTACATACAATAGTGTTTGACGAAGTTATTCTTATCTTAAAATTTTTATAGGGTGGAATAGATGATCCTTTAATTTTAAGCAATATAGTTTGTGTTAAATTGATGTTCAACATTTCTTAGTGTAAAAAAATAGTACAATTTATAAATAAGTGAATAAACATAATATAAAGTAATGTATTTCAAAATGTAAATTCTAAGATAAATGAATAAAATACGTATTAATTTAATGTATCATAAATGTTAATTTTACTAAAAAATATATATTTCCATTGTTTACAAACTATGTTAATATTGCTTTTTTTGTAATTATCTTCTTAAACAATATATATGTTACCTTCTGACATATTCATGTTATATATTAAATTAACACATAAATTTGAGTGGAACGTTTGGGACATGTAAAATTATATGTTAAATTTTAATACCAATATTTCATCTGTGTATTCAGTGCAGTACTCGTATCTCATATACATTTTGTAAAATTTGAATTATTAATTTATTAATTTATCAAGTCAATAGTAAGATTTTGCGGTAAATTCTCAAAATATTTAACATTCAGATATTCTAATAAATTGTTCCTTAAATATATTTCTATCAATGGTAACGTATTTGTCAATGACAAAGATTCCAGCGAAATGAATCTATTATAGCTCAAATCCAAATATTTTAAAGATACAAGAGATTCTGTCCATCCTATTGGCAAAGAATTTAACATATTTCCCGATAAATCTAATTCCTCTAAGACAGTAAGATGAGCGAAAGCATTAATATCGACTTCATCAATCTGATTGTTCCCCATTAACAATTTTATCAATTTTGGCATATGCACGAAAGCATATGAGATTATTTTCTTTATGCTATTGCTATTAATATATAAACTGCTAATTTCTATTTCATTCGAAATTTGTAGAATATTCTCGAGTTGGTTGCTACTCAGATCGAGTGTTTTTAAATATTGCAAATTAGTAAATGTGTTTATATGTAAATATTTTATGACATTTGAGGATAAGTTCAAAAAGAGCAATTCGTTATTGTCTCGAAAAGCATCTGATTCGACAGTACTAAGTTCGTTTCTAGAAATAGAAAGATAGTGTAGATTCTTCAGACCGACCATCGATAAAGCCTCTTTGTATTGATTGTACCGTTGAATATTGTTAAACTTATTGTTATCTAAATTTAGTACGAACAATTCGTTTCCTTTTTCGTTTAAGTTGAAGTCATTAAGCGAATTGTCATGAAGATCAAGAAAGTATAAGCTATTCGGCAGTAGTGATACGAAATTAGTTCCTGAAATACTATTTTCAGAGAGATCTAGAATCTTTAACTTGGGGAATGGCATGATCCGGCTTTGCAACGTTATCGGTGTTGTATAAGCAGTATAGTAATCATAAGATGGAGTTTCCTGTACAAATAACATTAAATCATTGATATAATTTTTACGTAGAGATAAAATTTTTAAGTTAGGATATTTGCCGAATATCTGTACAGATCTTGAATATCCATTGCGCATTGCACTATTCATTATAAGCACTTGTAACTTATCGTGACCACCAAAAAGATTATTTTCACTATTCCATAATTTATTGTTCGAAAGAAACAAATGGGTTAAATTTGGTAATTTTTTGAAGGCATCTCTTCCAATTTCCTCAATATTATTGCCCATAAGATTGAGGCAAGTAATCATAGGACTGCTGATAAAATTTTGGTTGATTTTAGAAATCACTGCATTCGAAAAATTTAAAGACACATCATCATTACATAGTGATTGAAGCGATTGATCGTCCACGTAATTTTCTATGGCAAAGTAAACGTTTGCTATTGATAGTGTAGACCAACAAACGATGGTGGCGATTATGAAGACGAACTTGACGATGGTCGATTTCTATAATAAATATAAAAAAAACATTATTGTTTTTGAATTATAAGAAAAATGGTTTGTAATTTAATAAAATATAATAAATTAAATAATACAAAATCTTGTAAGATAATATTACTACACAACAAAAATGGAAATAAAACGCCTTAAATGGTCAAGCTGGATTGATGAAATCTTTATTGATGAAATAATTCAATTTCTTTTTTTAAAACTTAGGACGCTCGCATGAAATGCAAGAGCTCTGGATTCGAAGATATCTATAATCGGCTGAAGATATTTTTGCAATATAAATATAATAGGAAGGTAAATAAAGGACACTTATATAAAAATAAACATACGTGAGAAGGAACAATGTAAGAGTCAAGTTATAAAAGTATGAAGTTGATTATAAAAACATATATTATATTAATAGATACTATACAATATATACAGGGTGGCTGAAATTAACCGCCAAATATTTCATGCGTGGGTAGAACAGACTTTATTGAGTCGAAAAGTCCTGTATCATTTTGCGATTGCAATAATAGTTAACAAGATATTAATTTATAAAAATATTTACAGATTTTAGAGTACTTATTAAGTACTTATTAAGAATATAATAATTAAATTATTTATCAATTTAATAGGTGATATTATTATTCATCTAGTTCTGATCAGGAGACGCGGTAGCGTCTCCGGCCATGTTCAAAAAAACTGTGAACGCTACAAGTCTCTTATCCCGAGCCACCAAAGTCCATTTTTGGGAGGTGCATAACTATTAAAATAATTATGTTTCACACACAACACAAGACTAAAAATAAAGGCTGTTTAAAGAATTGGATATGTAATATATAAATTCATATAGAATTGTTTTAGTACTAAAGATTCGTTTGACCGTTTAGAGCCGTTATTTTCAATAACAAATAAAATTTTTTAAATAATTATAAATATTTAAATAAATTAAAAATTAAATTAATTAAAAACTCTCACATAAATCTCTGACATAAGTTTTTTAAAAGAAAAAATTTTTTTTTACTGTTTTTTTATTGTGTGACAATTATCATTATGACTATTTTTGTAAATATATGGATACACGGACCAACTAATATTTTCACGCATAGATTTGCAAATTTTTTGAAGTTCATTTTAGAATATATGTATTAATTTGTTGTTAATTTTCTTTTCATTTGACTCTTACAATGCCATTTCCACGTTTATAATGTTTAAAAACTCTCAGTAAAAAATAAATATAAAACAAAATTATAATTGTATTTATGTAATAAAGATGATTAGAATAATTGAAAACATAAGTTCTCTCTATAATATTTCTATAGTTGTAGATTTTTTTGATATGAAATAACATATAAAATTTATTAGTTTCTTTTAAAATTATATAAAATTATTACTTATATATACCATTTTTTATAATGTTGTCTTTGAAAGATGCGAACTTTAAGTTGTTTCTGGTGATATCTTCTACATTGGATTGTACTTTGAATACTGTAACAAATAGTTGATAACTGAAACTGAAATCTGCCATCGCGAATGATCGGCAAAGTATGGGGACAAATCTGATGATACCGTCCCTTTCCGGGAAATGAAATATGATATACGTATACGCAGGGAATGGAAGTAACTCGTTACTTGTAACGAAGTTACAGTTACAAGTTACTTTTTTGGTAACTTTACTAGTAACTGCGTTACTTTCTTTTTTTGGTAACTGTAACTGTAACGAGTTACATTTTTTGGGTAACGGTAACGAAATTTACAGTTACTTTTGTCGTTACTTTGCACACGATTAAACACGGTTCGATTGGATACATGCTATTTATAGCGCTTATCAATAAGACTTGAAAGCCCTTAGACATTCGGCCGTTATGATTCAGTAATTATTTTACACTTCTATCTTCTTTGTAATACATAGGACATACAAATATTTCAGTTTGCTGCATATTTTACAGGTTTTAGAATTACAAAATTGTGTTTAAAAAAAATTAAAAAATAAATTAAATAATAGTAAAATGAGAAGGGCTATGAACC